TGGGGAACACCACTAGTGACCGGGCACAAACTGGATTCTGCACCATTCACCACCACTCTCTGGGCCACCAGTTCTTATCTTAACCCAGCAGAGAGTGCCCCTGTCCAAGCCGTGGGCTGACAGCTTTTCCAGGAGTAGCTATGGGAGATGGTGTCAAAGGCTTTGCTGAAGTCCAGGTAGACTACATCCACAGCCTTCCCCTCATCCACCAGGCAGGTCACCTGATCATAAAAGGAGATCAGGTTGGTCAGACAGGACCTGCCCTTCCTAAACCCATGCTGGCTGGGTCTGATCCCTTGTCCATCCTGTAGGTGCTGTGTGATCACACTTAGGATGATTTGCTCCATGACCTTGCCAGACACTGAGGTCAGGAAATGAGGGCAAAAGTAGAACCATAGTAAGAGATAGGATGGCTTATAAAAACCCAAACTCATCAGCAACAGTACATAGCAACTGTGGACCAGAAACAGCATCAGGAAAGACAAGATAGACTGGACACACAACTGCAACAAACTACCCTCAATATGAAACCCCATTTTTATTTTTAAATGCTTGGCTCTCATGTTAACCATTGGAATGGGGCCCCCTCTCCCCAAGGAGAGATTTCTGAAACTGTGCTAGTCTGACAGTTTGACTGCCAGACTTCTTTCAGTTTGATGAAGCACGACACCATGCTGTTTAAATCATCCATAGCTAACAGAAGGTTACAGATACAGAGAGTCTAGCGAAACCCAAAGCCAAACAACTGCAGCTGAAACTATGCCTTGTGCTTTAATCCTGTACAGAAACGAAAGTCTCTGAACCTCAGTCAGGGTGTAGCCACAACCACAGCTGTGCCACTACATTAAGGCTGACATGCAGTATTGCCTTCTCTTTTGAAATTCACATTACTTCAACATGTAAAAGCCACGAATGATTAAACCATGAGGCGGGGTAACCTAAAAATAAAAAAGGAATACCTTTCCTTCCCGGCCCTGACCTCAGCATTCAGGTTGGTGATTCTTAGTGCTTACATTCTGTGATAAAGTTCAAGTGGATTCCCTCTCATTTATTTCGCACAGACTGCCTGCCAATCACTACCATGTCAATGCACTGTAAATTTCTATAAGTACAGACAAGAACCAACATGAAGGAAGTGTAATAATTTGCATGAGAGTACCACAGTACCAAGCATTACTCTTATTTGCCAGCTAGAAGGCAGATAACATCCAAATCTGGACCTTAGTTTTTCCAAAACTCTCTCAAATGTTTAATGTGACTCTATCTGGCTTGGACATCAAGGTGCAGAGAAAAACAAAGTCTCTCAAAACAATCTATTAACACCTCACAGCAACAGCCTTCCTCTCCTCACAGGATACCACAAAACATAGCACAGCACTTATACTGCAACTAAAGAACAATAGCAGCAGCATCCTCCCTGATCTTATTTAAAAAAATTCTCAGAAAATAACAAACTTTTGTCAAGAACTTCCAAACTAATTAAGAGGGAATACCCCAATACACCACTTAATGATAACATGATGCTTTTACAACCAGTAGCAAGAAGTAACACATATTAGGATATGACAAAGACCCAGTTACAGGCTTCCACAGCAAATCCTCAGCAGCAGAACGGATTTAAATATCCTGGGAGGGTGAGTCAGGAGCTACAGATCCAAGTACAAAATTCTCTCCTAATCCAGACAGTAAGATTATGTTTTGGATGGAGAGGGCCAATGCTTTGAATTCTCTCTCCTGTCACCCCCGCCCCCACCATATGCTGCCACTTCTTTTCTTTACTATCAGAAGTGGCTAGGGTTTCTCTTCCCACCCCCCAACTGCTTCATTCTCTCCCTGGCAGGCAGTCAACTCCTCAGGCTGTGCGTGTTAACACCCTGCAGCCCATAAAGTACTCACTCCGAGCTCTCGCTGCTGTTGCCAGTCGCAGAGCTGCTGTGCTGGTCACCCTGGCCCAAAACCTGGACCCCTAAGGACCTGACAGCCCGCATCAGAATTGCCTCCATTGCTTCAACCGAGAGCTTCTCCAGGACAATCACCCGGCATCGGCTCAGAAGAGCGGCATTGACTTGGAAGGAAGGGTTTTCTGTGGTCGCTCCTATCAGAGTCACCGTCCCACACTCGACGTGAGGAAGGAAAGTGTCCTGAGGATGGGAGGGAAACAGAAAAAGCTGATCTCGATCAATGACAACCTGAAACATCCCATGTGAGTAGGCTACTTTTTTATGTGTCTTGTGAGTCTTTGGGTTCCCTGTTGGTATGACAAATAACCACACTGACAAAGCAGTTCATCTGCGCAGATATGTAAATGATCTAATTTCATGCACTCAATATGTTATGGGCTGTTCACCTTAATAACTCATGGCTGCACTGACAATGACCCTACCAGCTGAAAAAAACCAGTGCAAAAAATCTGCAAATTTTTAGTTTATTTACGTCACTTTGGTTTATTGCTTGGCAAACAGAAGAAATCATGAAATTGCCGTATCAAGTAAAATGAATAGTGAGGCTACTCCTAAATATGCTTTGAATCAACCTTTAGGGCTACAATTCCCTACATAATTCTATAGGATGGCTCAGAAAACTACAGGAAGATTGCGGTATGCTTCAATATAAAACTTGTAACTTTTAGTACAGAATTCTAGCTTCCCATATTACAACTAAAAAAACCTTATACCTGGGAAAAATAAAAATACCACCCAAGTGATGGCTGCAGTAATGTGTTATCCCAAAGTACCATGCCATGCCTTACTTTTTTCTCATAGCAGGAACATTAAAACACATACCCATCCTTGGCATATTCACATTCTAGACCTTTTTAAAGGTAATACAGAATGCTACCCTCAGATGGAGGCTGAAATGAAGATCTGTGCAGCAAAAATTACTAACAGGACTTTGCAGAAACAAAATTTCAGAACAATATCATATAAAGACTGACATGTAAGTCAGCAGTAAGTATAACTCAGCCTTATGTTTAGATCTCTGAATCACAGCAATTAAATGTTGGTTGGAAGCTCCTCAAGGAATTTACTTTTCATGTTTCTCCCTAATTCATCTACTTAAAACATTAACATGAAAATCAAAAGCCCAAAGGAAAGAAAGTATCATCCTAAGGCAAAGTGGGAATCTTTACAGAAGTGCTGACAGAGGCTTTTTCCAAAAAGCACTGTAGTACAATACCTGCTGAGATTTATTGAAACGATGGATCTCGTCAATAAAGAGGATAGTTTTTCTCTTGAAGAGTCTTTTTTCATTCTGGGCTTGGCTGATGACATCTCGAACATCATTTGTCTTGGCACTTGTGGCTGACAGTGTCACGAACCTCGTGCCATTCTTTTTGCTGCTGTTGGCTATGATGTGTGCCAGTGTAGTCTGAAACAGCAATAGGAGAAAGCTTTGTAAAAATCATTTTGGACACACAAAGTATATTCCTTCCATTTGACAGAAATATGCAAAGTACAAAGCTATATATTTTGGACATAGGGACCATGTTGACAGTTTATAGAGTAAGGCATTTTAGCTTAGGTTATTCTAGCACACAGAAGACTTAAAAACTTCCTGCTAGATGTAGCTGCCAATTCCTCTGCTGCATTACTAATGCCTGCACTTTCACGTACCAGACCCAGTCAGTCTCAATACTGAAAAGGCCAGCAATGACAGCTGTCTCCTTTATCACGGAAGAAGAACTCTTTGCCAAATACATTTCTGTCACAGAAGATGGGCTGACTGCAATTTGCTGTGCAGTTATTTTGTAGAGTATGTTAATGGATAAAGAGCTGGACTACCCTAAGACACCTGCAGAAGAGTTTACAGTGCAACCGTGTTTGAGAAATAAATAGCCACAATGTCATTAATTAAACCCTTTTCTATTTCCAATACACATAAAAATGAAATTAATCAGACAGCAGTTTCTACAAAAGCATGAGAACATTAGTACTGAAAAATTATATGTATACTTAAGAAAATGTAACTCTTAACTCTAAATAGTCAACAGTAATCAAATGATGGCCCAGGAAAACAAAAGGTACTTGGTTGAACAAGCTGTTGGCTGCTTTTAGTAAGCAGTGACGTCGTTTTTCTTTCTTTATGAACAATCTCTTCAAATGAGAATTTGTTTATAGAGAATTTTGCTAAGCCTAACAAAGCACAGAAGCAACCTCCAGTAAACCTCCCAGGTAGATTTACTACACCTGAACACATCACAGGCATAATTTCCAGACTTTCCTTCAATACTCTTAGTAAACGCAGATGTATCTGCGTGTCCCAAGCCGAGCGCATCTCTATTTGAAAGTACTGCTAGAGAAAGCAGGCGATTCTTCCATCAAGCTCACTCTTCTATTAAGGAAGGGTCCTAAGGAGAATGAAGACAGGAGAGTGTTGGCAGATGAGGAGTGGGACAGGTGCTGACAAAACCGCTTCAGAAGATATTCCAAGTGCTGAGGTTAAAGCAGCAGGTGCTGTCAACCTGATCCTCTTGCAAGGAGGCTGCAGAAGCAACCACCTACCACTTGGCTACCAGCAGTGTTGCAGCACTGCTCTGTCTCTTTAATGGATTTCCCTGCCCCTGAAATGGCCACCAGCCCAAGATTAAAAAGGGGAGGCTAAGGAGGAGGATGTATCACTATTTATTCTTGTTTTAGTTTTAGTAAGGGCTTCCTGATTGTCTTCAGAAGTGGTGTCCTGATACAAGACTTGCATTCCATGTCAGATTGTCCCTCATCCCCTTAAGTTCAAACTAACAGCCCCTCCCCAACTTGTATCACTGCAAAAGACAAGATTGAAAAGACACTTAGAAAGCATTTGCAGCAAAGCCTACAGAAAACAGGAAGACATGAGAAACAAACACACACCCACCCCCAAAACAAAAGGAAACCATATTTGAAACTAAGCCACCAAACTAAAACCAAAGTTGATGTTTCCTTACAAAAGGGCCTTGATTCAGGATGTACCTTCAGAGGATGCTTAAAAAACTCTGAAAGCATGGAAACCCTCACTACATCAAATTTGAGGATGAAGAAGTAAAACTGTACCTCTTCTTTCTCTAAAAGTGACAGCAGTGAGAGGAGGAAGAAATAAAAATTAAATAAAGTGGCTATTCTTCTTGTAGCTCCACTTGGACTGGTAGCTCGCAATGTACCCATGCTGTCATTCAGACGATTTTGTTTACAAAAAAGCAGTGAGGAATTTGTTTTAAACACATGCACAGGAGTCCGTATTTCTAACCCTAATTTAGGAAAAAAATACAAAGACGTTTGTTTGAAAGTTACTATTAGACCAAGAATCTACTTGAAAAGCGCTGCACAGCTTTCAGCCAGCACATACCTCTCCTGCTCTGCCAACTTCTGGGTCATCAAAGGTTGCAATAAGAATAACATACATTGCCTTTTGAAAGCAGTACTTGACATGGACAGGCATGTTCGTGACCTCTTCCTTCTGTTCTGCACAATCAATCATTCAGCAAGTCAAACTGCCTATCACATACAGGTCAAACTTTCCCTGGTCTTCTGAAAGACTACTTCCCATGAGCTCAGTTTTTTATGCTGCTTTTGCTCCTTCCATCTCAAGCAAAACTCAGTAACATCCTACACTGTTTTCTTCAGGTTACAAGCTAAGGGAACATATAACCTAGTGGAGACTTAATTTAAGCAGGGTAGCTTAACTATGAAGGCACTAGGACAGAGCAACAATCACTCATACGCTAAACCCCTAGTTTCCCTCACTAAATTAAGGGGCAATGTATTTAAGGGATAAGAAGAAAATTAGAAATATATGGAATAAGGCAGAAGAAAACACACTGAATATCCTTCATCATCTGACATAAATTTGGAGGTTTGATTGCTACCCTAGAAAACAATTCTTTTAAAATAGTGACAGTGATGTTGCAATTTAATATGAATGAATACATCTGTATCAGAACCTGCGTAACAAACAGGAAGAGGAAATCTAAAGTTGGTAATCTGCTCCTTTTATTATTCAGGTGCTTTTTCTTATGGGGAGGAGCAGAAATACCATTTCTTGTAAATAAGAATAGGAGTGATCCTGCAAACTAACCTTTTGCTAAGTTCACAAAAAATTACACCTTACGAAGCTCACAGTGTGGTATCCTTGCCCCTTCCAGAAATAATTCTCAGTTCTCTTCTATTACCACACCAAACTATTCAAACTCACACCTATCATCTCAAGTTTTATGCTGAAAATTGTGAGACCTTACTCACTTACCTGTTTAGACAGGCAAAGAAGTGCCATCATAAGGAGTCGTTCTGAAACATATTCACCAAGAAACTCCTGAACCATTACTCACCAATTAATAACACTTTCAACTTCAGCCTGTGGTCACTTATTTCCCTTTACACACAGTTCAAACTCACACCTATCATCTCAAGTTTTATGCTGAAAATTGTGAGACCTTACTCACTTACCTGTTTAGACAGGCAAAGAAGTGCCATCATAAGGAGTCGTTCTGAAACATATTCACCAAGAAACTCCTGAACCATTACTCACCAATTAATAACACTTTCAACTTCAGCCTGTGGTCACTTATTTCCCTTTACACACAGAACAAACACTTATGAAACACTCTCTCTTTCACTGTCCTGCACAGTATCAGGCCAAATGAGAATATCCTTTCCCAATGGCTGCAACCATCCAAGATTTACAGAAACCCAGCAACCAAACTAAAATAGATAGCCAAACAAGCCCACTCCCAGCAATAACACTGCTGGTTCTTCCACACTTTGATATGAGTTGTGGATGAAACAAAAGCAACCCACAAAGCATGCTTGGTTCCATACATCTCTTACTGTCAGAGCAGAAAAGTCAATCTGATTTGCTGGTTTGGTTAGCTGGATGTTTCTACTAAGAGACAAAAATTTGCTGTATACCCACAAGTTTCCTTGACTGGGTACCTCTAAGTATGACCTGTTTCCCTACTCTCTACACTGACACCAGACAATACAACCTTTCTCTTCCTTTATTCTGGCCAGGATTTACATATCTTTGCCTACATGGTGTTGCCATCAATGGCCTCTCTGCACCCTCAACCCTTCCTTTGCAGGCAGAAGGGCCATACTGTGACTGACAAGCAGTCAGGAAAGGCCATGGTCTGTTTCACTGCCTTGAGGGAGTCACCAACCATGCAAGCATCCTTGGATGCCAGAGAGGGGAGCAGTTCCCTGGGATGCAGCTCAGAAAGCTGGGGTCTGTCCTACCCAACACTGCTGAGATGACCCAAGCTACCACACTGCGTCACAGGAGATAAGTCAGGCTGTGTCTAAAGGAAACTGGCAGGATAATAGATGAACATGGCCCGGGAACACTGTCTATACAGATAAACACAATCAAAAGTAGCAGCAGTTGGCGTTTATATAAGGGCAGATGCTATTCTTACCCATCTTGTTTGGTTCCTCACACCCCAAATAGCCCTCTGAGATACTACTGGAGGAGTAAGTGTCACCAAACAAGAGCCACAGCATGTGGTTTATAGCACTTCCAGAATCCAAGCCCGATCAAGCATAAACAGATACAAGGTCATTGCATAATTTTTACTGAAATGGAGCTGTATCTCCATTTGTTGTATCCAGATTTGTCTCCTTAATATTTCAACTATTCTATAAATACAATTCTACTTTTTCTTCCAGCTTTCTTTTCCTAGAGAGCTACCCTAAGTTATTCCTGATTTAGATTGGCATAAGTGAAACCAAGCACACTATTAGAAGACTTCTCCCAGGCAACTGCAAAGACAGATCCATTTTTCAGAGTTGTTCTGGACTTTCAGTTTATGGTACCATAGAAGACATCATACATTTTCAGTTAAAAATCTCATGGTAATCAGTCAAAAGAACTCCTTACTCCAAATCAGTGCTCGAATCAGGCTCCAAGCTGTATGAATAAGAGAAGATGAAATACATTCAAGTGATCAAACAACCATACAGGTAACCACTTGAATTAGTGAAATGCAAAGCACTGGAAGGAAGGGATGATAAACATGAAAGAGAAAAATACGTAAGTTGGATTCCCTGACTGTGTTTCAATGTGCCATTTGACAAAGCCTTGAATAAAAACAAAACAAAACAAACAAACAAAAAAACCCCAAACCAAACCAACCCCCCCAAAAAAAACCAACCAACCAAACAAAAAAACCCAAACAAAAAACCAAACAAACAAAGAGAAAAAAATACAAGGGAGTCCTAGAAATAAAACAGAATGTCAGAGGAGATTTGATAGAAACTTCAAAGACCACTTACTGGAGTTTTTAATGTTTTGCACTCATATCAACATAGCGTATTTTATCTAAGCACTAGATTGCAGATATGAACCCCAGAAAATCATGCATCAATGTTCTTCATCTTCTCTTTTGTAGGGAGTGGGTTCATGCCACTTGCTACCTAGTTTTTTCTTGTTAAACAACAAACCTAAGAGGGAATGTTTGCTGTACTTAAATACAGAATGTTCAGGTTTATAAGGCTTAAACTGCATCTGTGGCAGCAAAATTATTCAGCGCTCAAGTTACACTGTGTCCCCCTGCTAACTCTTTACTAAAATTGGTGCCCCAATGGCAGACAAGCAAAAATCTAAATCCCTGTATTAAGGTGCCATAAATCACAGTACAGCTTACTCAGATTACACTAGGATTCATACAGGCTTTTAAAAATTTGCATAGTCAGGATGAACAAGCTAACTGTCCCTGAGTTAATAACCACAGCATCTCTTTGAGGGAGTGTTTCTCCTGGCCTGTGTCTTGTCAGCTTCTTAAAAGCAGAGAATAGGTTCTTGTTTTCAACACTTCAGAGTGACAAAAGTAAAAAGCTAGAGCACCTTGGCTTCCTAAGAAATTAGGATGGCAAATTCAAAGTACAAAGATCACTATCCCTTAAAGAGGACTCAATACAGATGGAAACTCAAATAAAAAGAAGCTAGCAACAGAAGGACCCTGATTTTGTCTTTTCAGTCTTGAGGGTGCTTTCCAGAATATCCAAGTGCAGCTGAGGCCGAAATCGACTTGGGCAGAGCAGTACAAAGCATATGTATTTTTACTCTGGTACGTAGCATTATTGCTTGCATGATAAAAACTTTCCAAAAGTACTCCTGACCTACAATATCAAATACTGCATTTAAAGCACTTCAACAGCAAGATTATTTTCTTCTTGCTTAGAAAAAGTCTGTTAAACTACTACTTCTTATAAAGGTCCAGATTTATAAATAATACATAAACTGATTTGAAATTTGGCCTTGAAGATTTATTCCACCTCAAGATATTTTTTATTTTTTACTTAGTCCTGCTCTACCCTTTTCAAAAGTATCAGTTAGCATGGCATTTGGCTGTAGAAATGGAAGAAGGCATAGATGGGCTGCAATAACCAGATTCCATGGGTAGCAAGAACATGAAGAGGTTTAAGAAGTGTATGACCACCTTACACAGCACTTCTGAATTTAGACCAACATATCTAACTATGCTCCTATTTTAGCTCTTTGATGGGCAGAGATTAGCATGTGGCCTTGTTACA